GTTTCTCTTTTTTCACTTGTTCATTCTTCATTCATCTTTTTTCAGTTCAATTCAACAAGCATTTATTAAGCGCCTATTATGGCTCAGGATGAGTGATATCCAGGCTTTTTTGAAGTAAGAGAATGGAGTCTGGAAACTGTAGGCCAGTGAACTCAACTTCTATTCTTGTCAAAATTCCAGAACACGTCTATATCTCTATCTCTATCTGTGTCTATATCTATCTGCTTACATATTTAAAGTTTTTACCCTGCTAGGTGCTGGAGATACAGAGAAGAAAATGAAATCATTTTTGGCCTCAAGGAGCTTACATTCTACTAGACTAATATAACATGTAAACATAAAACACAAAACTGGCCAGTGTGGGCCCGGTCCTGGGAGTATGAGCAAAGGACCCACTCGGCTGTTTATTGAGCCTGCTGTGTGAGTAAGTGATGACGCAGAGTGGAGGGTCCTGGCTCTCTACTTTGGTGCGCTATGTACAGGCATCCTGTGACTGCCTTGTCTGTGTACTCGATGGTGAGGAAAAACCTTTTAGTTGACTTCTGAACCAGAACTGAGTTTGTGTACAAAGGGCACTAACTGGTCAGATCACTTCTCTCTCTCCTGGACGATTCAAGTGAAGAAGAAATGCTGTAAACCTCCGGGTGTGAGAGCCCCTCCCAAAGTCCCCTTCGTGGAACTTGGGACACTTCTGGTACTGTTGTGTCTATCTCATCTTGCTCTTACTTGGAGTATTGAAGATGGAATGACTGACATCAAACAGTTGGAGAAGCCACCAGAGGCCCAGTGATAGGAGATCAGGGCAGACAAGTGAGGCATCCGTGCACGGCCCAGCTTCAACCTGCAGGATCCAGCCCAGCAGGGAATTAACCCCATAACTGGCACTGTAGCCTCCCGCCATGGGAGTGATCCCGCAAATGGGCACAGAGAACGTTTATTAAACATTGACTACGTGCGGAGCACAAACAGAAAAGTAAGACATTTCCTGCTCTCCAGAAGCTCCCACGCCCGCTGTGAGGAGACATCACATAGGGTGGGTTTCACTTGCAATCAGATGGAAAGGTCTCCAAGGTCTTCTGATGAGGGGGAGAATGTGAGAAATGATTCTTTTGGACCCCCACTGTGTTCCAGTCAGTTTGATATCTTACCTAAATCATATAGGGACAGACAGGTTCTTACCGTGGGCCTCCAACTTTTGTGTAATATTCACAACTTGTTTATCTAAAGTTGTGAGGCTCACTTGTGTGCCCACAAGGATGCTGCCAAAGATATCTCCATCCTGTTTTCCTCAAATTCCATGTCCAAATCCAGTATGGGTGGGATGCCTTGATGCTTTGGAAAGTCCCCCAATTTATTTTTGAATCTGCAGACCATTCTCTCTTGTCCACCATGAGCAAGTGACCATCTTATGCCCACTTAGCCAGTGGACATGCCCCATACTTTCCCCAACTTATGACACCCCACTGCTGATCGGTCATTTTTGGCCCTCAAGAGCAAAGTCTATCAACCAATGAGATCCTGTATTTCACCATGCCTCTTTTGTGTATTTGGAAACCATATAAAAACAAGGTGCTGGAAAAAGGGGACATCTCAGACCATGAGGAAGATCTGAGGTCCACTTCATTAAAGGGAACCATGGACCCTTTAATAAAGTGCCGTTGGCCCAGCACTCTGCCTCTGTCTCTTTAATCCCCACATTAATGGCACCCCAAGATGGGATTGTGATGCATGGACCTCAACCTTATTAGGCTGGCCCCTGCAAGGAAGTGCACACTGGGTCAAATTTTCCCCAATGGCTCCCCCACAGACACCAGCCCTGGGAGGTTGGGCTCCCCCTACCCCATCTGCACCCAAATTCTCTGAGCCTGAGGTAAGTTTATTTAAGATTGGTGAGTCTACCTTGATTTACCCTAAATTCATTTTCTTTAAGAAGTGTCCCCAATTGGGCTAAGAGGGATTGTTTGAATTTATGACTAATCTGTCTAAATTTATAAGCTCCAGGGCACCCAAATTCTATTTTTATAAAAATTATACGGCCATAATATTAACTTTTTATAAATAGGCAACTGTTGTGGGTCCCCCCCCCACCCCATTTACTTTCATTTGGTTAAGATCAGGGAGACACAGCCGTGGAGTTGCTGGTTCCTCATTTTCAGCCCGCTAGCCACCTAGCTAGGGTTAAAATCATTTTTTACCTTTAAATTCTTTTATCGCAGAGAAATTAAATCGTTCTTGTCATTGGTAGAGAAATCTCTTCAATTGGTTGAGGGGGAACTTTCAGTGGCTCACAGAGGGCAAGGAACCCATCTAGAAGAGGACCCTGTGACCAGGATGGGTAGGGCTTCGGGGAGTGATTCTGCACTGAGTGCTCTCTCTGACACCACCTTGAGGGAACAATAATTCGGCCAGACTGGAGAGCCTTAGGGGAGAGATCTCCCACCTCAATGGTAAACTCTGCAGGCATGGGACCACCCTGGGAAGAATCCCACCCTTTTCTGACCTGAAAAGAAGGCTCGTTTTAGTTTTACAAAAATAAGGAAAGGAGAAGGCTTTCATTTAGTGAGGAAGGTTTTAATTGATATATATATATATATATATATATATAAAAATACATTCAATATATATAATATATATTATTGTATTAGAATTAAGTCAATCACTGACAATCAGAGCCAAATTTTCAGGAAGGTTTAAAGAAAAGTGGGTATAAATTATGTTGAATATTCACTTATAAAGGACCTTTAGGCCCTATTGACTGGGGTTAGGACCCTGGAGGTTAAGCCCAGAAATTAATAATTGGAAGTATTGGAGAATTTGCCTGAATATTACAATCCTGAATTAAATCCCTGAATATTACAGTGTTACTGTAGGAAAACAACATCCATATAGGTGGAACTCAGGCGAATAGAGGATTGCCGCCCACATTTCATAATCAGAAGGGTCACCATCTCTACAATCTTCAATGAGGATCTTCTCAGATAAGCCAAAAGGTGGTACTTAAGGAATCTAGTCCAATTCTCTCACAAGTTCCTCCAAGGACTGCCACTCTTGGTTGGAGATACCTTCAGGAGACATGGGGTCTTGCATAAGAGGAGAAATGCATCCTACAGTCTCCCGTTAGGGACAAGAGTGGACTCCCAGTCCTGAGATGACTAAAGAATGAGATATTAAGCTGAGTAAAGTTGGGTTTGAGAATACAAAGAGATTAGGGAATTGTTTTGGCCAAAGTGGGGAACTTTTAATTACTTAGAAAATTACCGAGATTTATTGCACCATCTCCCCAAATCAGCTTAGAACAAATGAACTAATGATATTGCTAAATTCTTCATCATTCCTAATTTTTCTTCCTGTGATTATACTTTGGCAAAAAGTCTAGAGCAAAAAAGTCTAATTTTAACCAACTATTAGAGACTTGTTCTAAATGCAAAGTGCACTTTAAATGGGTGAGTAAACACAATGGACAAATTAGACTAAAGCAATTTTGTATTGTTGTTAAATTACATTTTTTATGAGATTATAAGAGAATTCACCTAATTAGAAAATGGAAGAATTATCTTAGGCTGACAGTGGGACCCCTGCTACAAAATGGCCTTAAGTCAGTAAAGGAGACAGGTAAAATCTTGACTTCAAAATCTCCTAGAGAAAACTTAGAGGTTCAGGCCTGATTGAATGCTGTGTCTTGTCATATTTTCTGTGTGTGTTTGTTTTGTAAATGATGAAACAAAGTTTAGGAATAGTGGGTTCTTTACTTCAGATAGAAAGGCACCTTATACAATTAGGAAAATCTTTAAGAGAATGGGAAATAAGCGTGTGTCTGTGCTGTGCTATTGGTGCTTTGTGCTAATTCATAGCTAACAGGTGTTTTACCTCTGCCTTTTCTTTTGGCGTGATCAGCCGAAAGAAAAAGGCTGTAAAAAAAATAAATAAATAAACTTAAAAAAAACTTATAAGAGGACAAATCTCTCTTTTTTCTCCGTTTCCAACACCGGCCATGTTGGAGATTGCTGAAATGAAAGACGGGTACAGAGATTAACTGAAAACTAAGAAGATTTTTAAACATGATTGGAAACCGATTTTGTGAGAAAGGAATAATTAAATTTCTTTCGTTTCTAAATTATAATCTGGATGTCTTTATAAAGTATTTTGATGAGCTTATGGGGTATTGGCAAACTCTGTAGTTTCATGAAAACAACAATAAATTCATAGATCAGTTATTCTTTAAAAGGGAACTTTAAAATGACTAGGAATTGTTTTAAAGCTGTAGTTGAATTTTAATCACTGTCTTATTAATCATGAGATATGTTCAGGAGAGATTTAGTGAAAGAGGAATTCAGGGAGTGTTAAAATAAGAAAAACTTAGGGAACAGTATAGGTGAATTAAGAATAAAACTCTTGTGAGCTCAAATAATTTCACAACTCAGCATTTAAAAAGGAAACACATTTGCTAAGCCTGAGGAGGTTTCAGCTAGCCAATCTCTAAATCTGAAGTTTTCAGGTATCAATCTGTGAAATGGGTTTTCATTTTAGTGTAGAATAAAGGTATACTTAAAAATTCTACTTAAAGTTGGGATAAGTTTATGGTAAGAAGGAATTTGTATTATTAGAAGGAGAATAAGGAAATTCAGACTGTGAGAGATGATCTCTGAGGATCTCTCAGGAGTGAAGCCTCCTCAAAGAGTTAATCGTTTGACCTTGTAAAGAAACATGCTTGTCAACACATCCTGTACTTTACCAGACCCTCCCCCCCCTTCCCAAACTTGTTTTTAGGCACGCAGCAAGGAGGAATAACACCCCCCCCTCTTAAAACTGCTTTCCTCCTCTAGCAAAAACTTCCCCCCCCTTTTTTTTTCTTTTGTCTTTGGCCAACTTTTTTTTTTTTCTGTTTCTCCTCTGTTGGGGTAGAATTTCCGAGCATAGATTGTGCCCTCAAGGCTTGCACCAAAGAGTTGAGATGAAGGGGGTTAGGGAGGAGGAGTTGGGGTTAGGGATCAATATAATCTGTCTTTGCTGAGCACACCCTGGCACTCTCCCAGCAGAGCCATCTTAGGCAGACGGAGAGTGCCTTTTCTCAAGGAAGCTAATAAAGAAAACTTTCTTTTTGCTAATATCTCTGAGTCTCCGATTTATTGGTAAGGGTGTCTGTACCCCACACAAGACCATGTTCAGAAAAGAATCAAAGTGGGTAGAATCAGAGTTCCTTTACCATTCTGTTGTTGATTGCTTTTAAACAATCAACCTGAGGACTGCAGAAGGAAGGTGAATCCCAAAGTGTTCCCAGAAAGAGGAAACTTGTTTTGAAATCAGAAAGCAACCTAAGGTAAGTGAAATCGAATGATACTACAGCAGTTTAAGTCAATTGTTCAGGTAAATTAAAACACAGTAAAACTTGTGTTGAAATAAATTGATTAGTGAAGATAAGTTCAAATTGTATAAATAAGGCTGTAGTAAGTTAGGGAAAGAATTACCGAAGATAGAATTAAACAAGAATATAAAAAGGATAGATACAGGAATAAATGAAGTGCATGCACACCTAATAGAGGTGCCACCAGGTAGGGCCTCCTTGGGAATGTCTTAGTCTTATGAGCCTGTACACCAAGTCTGTGACTAGATCTCCTGAAGCCTCTCATAAAGGCTGATAGGGATTGAACCGCGTGACTCGTCAGGACAGGGACCCCTCCTATATCCCAAATCCTAAAAATATAAGGAATAGTTTAGTTTATAGAAAAGGGAAAGGGGGAAAGGGCAACGCTGCTGGCCACCCACCTGTGACTGGAGGAGCTGAGCACCGTGATACCCTTTAATAGGACAGAAAGGTCCCTAGTAGCTTTCATGGTATGAGGGCTGATTATAGCTACACCAAGGGCATTTTGAGCATCCCTCACTGATGGTGGCTTTGAAAGTAAGGGTAGTCATCTGAAAGTCATGAAAAGCCAGAAATGATCATAGTCATCAAGGGTGCTCAGATTATAAAAGAGCAAATTAAAATAAACATATGGCTTATAAAAGTATAATAACTGAAATTTTGAGAGGGAAGAGCAGAACTTAAAAATTATTTCAGAACAAATAAACATTTTATAGGATAAAATAAGGAAGCTTACAATATAAAGAAATGCTTATCATTTGGAAGTTTGCAAAGTCATAACACAAAAACAGTAATTTGCAATCTCTACTAAATGATACCTTCCAATAAGACAGGTTAAAAAAAAATAAATGGACTTAATTTTGAGTGATTTGAAAGGAAATAGGGAAAAAGTTATACCCTGAGGTCTTCAGAAAAGTCCAGTCTCTATCAGATAGTTTTCCAGTAGTGCAATTCCTGTGCCATAGTTGGGCTTTGACCATTCCCCTTTGATATTGCTAAAATAGCTGGAAGAATGCTTTTCCAGCAGAAAAGAGATTAACTTTGAGGTGATGGGTGGTTTCTTCCCCAAAGTCATCCTGCTTACTGAAATCTGTGACACTCTACAATGAGGACCTTGTACTGAGTGAGTTCTTCTTGAATCACTTAGAAAAAACTATGTGGTTATGACTAATTCTAATTGCCCAAAGGCCCTTAAAAAAACTGGGATGAACAGTGCATTTGTAACCACTAAAGAACCAAAAAAGGGGTTTACTAGAGGAATTAAGTAAGTAGAAGAAAGAAAAAGTAATGTTGCATAAAGAAATAAGAAAAGTTAAGAATGAGTAGAAGAATATAGAAAGTTGGCATCTATTTGCGCTAACACAGGGTAAATTCTGGGTTTGAAAAAATAAAGGGGTTTGGAGTTTTGCTGCTTTTTTTTGGGCAAAGCAGTTGAGGTTAAGTAATGGTCCACACAGCCAGTATCAAGTGTCTGAGGCTAGATTTGAACTATGGTCCTTCTAACTCCAGGGCTGGTACTCTATCTACTACACCACCTAGCTGCCCTTGGAGTTTTGAAAAGGAGATTTCAGAGAGGGTGTTAATCCCATCGAAGTAGAAAAGATTTAGGAATTTTTTAAAAGTAATGACTCTTTGATAGTTGCTGCCCCCTTTCCTTCCCTAATCAATATAAGACTACAAAATCAGTTTCATAAAATGCATGTTAATTGATTATAGAGAAAGGATTATCTCTTTGCTCTGGTTTAAATAGTCATGCTAAAGGATTAGTAATTTGGACAATTTAAAGGAATTGGTTTGGCTCTTTGGGTAGCTCAAAGAAACAAGGCATCAGGGATGGGAAGTTGGGATTCCATGAATGGTTTTTGAATAGAAGCCAACTCAAAATAATGGAACCTTGTGCAAAATGAAGTTGCCACTCGTCAGTGTAAATCAAAATTGATTGGGCTGAAAACATTGTAATGGTAGTAAATGAGAAGATCTCATCAGCCCTTATATGTACAAAGGGGATGATAAACATTGCCATCTCCCAGGATCGTTTGGAGAAACAGAGTTGTGAGGTCCTTAACACAGTGCTTGGCTTGTGTAAATGGTGAGCACTATGCTATTCAGACTTTGTAGGAATACAGTTGAACAAAATGCTATCCCATTGGAGTGAGATTGGTGAAGACCTCTCATAAACTCTAAACTTCAATGAGTAAAATAAGGTAAAGGCCCCTAATAATAATCTATGTGTATCCAGGTCAGGAAGCTTGTAAATAGCACGGATAAATATGTTCAGATTGTTGCAAAGACAAGTATAACCACAAATTGTTCCAGTAACTGAAATGAACAAACAGGATGTACCAAGAGGATACTTCAAGGAGGGGAAGGCAGGTGAAAACAATGTGATGATTCTGTAATTTGCACTGCTGTTGCTGGGTAGTTTTGCCAGGTTTAGATTGTGCCCTCTGAAGCCCAGCCAATACGATAAGAGGTAGGGGCTAGGGAGGGGTTGCGCTTGGAACCTATAAAAATGCTCGTTTGGCCCACACTATCCGCGGTCTTGCATTGAGCTACCTTTCCCTGCAAGTGGCCCTTTCTCCCAAGATCGGAGTAAAATCCTTTCGACTCTCTACCTTGGAGAAGCCTCTGAATTAATTTGGGTAAGGGTCATCGCTGTCCCACACACATTTATAGGTACTTTTTTTCCTAATTGGCATGGAATTTAATAAAATCTAAAAATTATAGACTACATATTTTAAAGTATTAAAAAAACAGACTTAAGTAACTTTCAAGACATATAAAAAGCCTGGCACATGGTAGGCACTACATAAACTACTATGATCACCATGAAAATGCCAGGGGTAATAAGATAAATGACTTTCTATGAATTGATAAATTTGAAAGGTATTTAACTAACTTATCATCACCCGAATGTTTTAAGCACAAGAAGGCTAAGAGAAGCTGTTAAACAAACTTCTTCCTCTTTTCAATCTGCATGCTGTTACATTATAAATATGTCTGTTACATGATTATCAGAGTATATATTTTAATTAGAAAATAATAATAATAGTAATACTAGTAAATGATTTACTGTTGGGAGAAAAGCATGGTAATGTCCTCTTAGGAGAGCTTTGTGAGGTTCTTTGGGATGAGCCCCACTGACAGGGTGCTGTGAAACTCAGCAGCACTGCTGTTTGAGGAACTAGGAACTCTCCCAACCAAAGGGGAAAAAGGAAACCTTTGAATAATAAGTGGGGATCATTTGGGATCATTTGGAAACTCATGTAATTGTGTCTTTTAGTGCTGTTATTTTGAACCAACTGTTCATTGTGCATGAACTTGTGAAAAAGTAGAAACAGCATCAGAAACATGCTGAACAGGTCTCTTGGGTCTGGGTGAATGGAATAGGTAAGCCACTGCTCCCCAGATATACTTTTTTAGTTCATAAGGGGGGGTCATTGTGGCACACAAGGGATATTAGATTTAATTAAGCAAGAGTGGGTTACTCCTGACACCACCCCAGTGGTCCAACTTGTGTGCTTTTAATCAGCTGGCCTTTCAAGTCACATCTACTGGTGGCCATCTGCTAGCTTACACCCCTCTTTGAGCACTTGCAGGAAAAAAAAAATATTATTGTGCCCAAATCCGTCCTTGAATTTGTGCCCTGGTGTGACCCATTTGTCTACAGTCTGCTGTACTGGGGGAATCACATCTCGTTTTCATGCCGTTGTATTCTAGAAATGGTCTGACTTCCTCCCTTTGGTTTTATCTGCAAACCAAGGAGGGGGGAAGATAGTTGTGAACAGATGAAATTTAAGAATAGTTGAAAAATTCTAGACGAAATTTTGAAGCTAATATAAGAGAAAAATAACACTTATCTAGCCCAGAGCTGGAATTAGCGACATTTTGCAGTTTGAGGAAGAGTCTTCTGGGACTTAATTTGCTGCTATTCTAAGTCTTGAATCTAGGTGTGTTAAGTGTCTGACCCCTCATAAGGCTGCTGCTTCATCATTCAAGGGAAATGCCATGTGCCCCTGCAGTCTAAGGACTGCCACAGGTGGATATCTGTCCCTGGGAACGTCAAGAGAAAGACCTCATGAGGGTGAAGGTAGGACTCTCTTGACCTATCCCCAGCTTGCTAAATAAGCCATTTTCCCACCTGGTTAGTTCTGAGCCTGCCTATGACTCCTGTCATACACTTGGCTGCTTGTTACCGGTACCTGATATCAAACAGAACCAATGCTATGTCCCTGCCTTCCTCCTCACGCAGCACATTCCAAGCGTAAAAGAGGATGAACCCTATTGTTTTGAACTTTTTGTCACAATTGAAATTATTTTAGCAACTTTTAAAGGAATTCAGTTGTGCAGCAGAGGTCACCATCTTATTAAAAAAAGGTGTTGTGGTAATAGTTTCCTAACAGAATACTATCCTCCTAGGGGAGGAGTGAGCAGCCCAAGGAAAATGGCTGAAGTGAAAGATTTTTTTTGGTTGGTTTTAATAAATAATTGTGATAAGATTAGGTAATTATATATAACAAATATAAAATTTGGGTTCAGAATTTTTTAATTTTTCAGTTATTTGAATTTGCCAACCTAAAAATGTAAATTCTGTGATCTAGTGATATTTATATTAGTACTATGAAGGTTTGGGCTAGCTCTCACTACCTGACCTGATTATTGTAATAGCAAACTAGAATTGTATTAAGATCTATTTTGGGGCAGCTAGGTGGCACAGTGGATAGAGCACTGGCCCTGGATTCAGGAGTACCTGAGTTCAAATGCAGCCTCAGACATATAACACTTACTAGCTGTGTGACCCTGGGCGAGTCACTTAATGCCATTGCCCAGCCCCCCCCCCAAAAAAAAGATCTGTTTTGTCAGAGATTTTTCACAGAGAGGGGGATCTGTGCAAGTAACCAGACCTGGAGAAGCAAACCCAGCAGAGGCTGCTCTGAAGCCCCATGCATTCCAGTATTTCTAAGAGGAGAGATCTCCAGAGGGCTACAGGATGCATGGGACGATGTGTCAGAGACTGGGCAGCTGTATGAGGGGGGACGAGACGAGTTGTCCTACAACGGGTGATTTTTCTTTGTGTAATTTGTGGTGGGTTTGCTATAGGCTATCTCAGAATAATTGGATGACTCTTACACCTCGCCTCAGTGGTGCCATGTGTCTCTGAACAAGTGTTACTATAAGGGCACGCGCCTCGGAGTGCACAAAGTTGTAATTTTTGCAGAGCATCATGAAATCTTCATGAGAGGTATTGACTTTAGCCTTCCAATATACCCTCTCACACTCTGTCTTCCGTTCCGGGACAGATTTCAGGATGTCCATGGACTTGGATGGGGAAAAAAATTACCTCTTTAATTTCACTAACCTCTGACTGAAATATAGCATGTCCTTCAATTATTTAAAAAACATTATTCTGGGGCAGCTAGGTAGCGCAGTGGATAGAGCACCGGCCCTGAAGTCAGCAGGACCTGAGTTCAAATGCGGCCTCAGACCAAACACTTGATACTTACTAGCAGTGTGACCCTGGGCAAGTCACTTAACCCCAATTGCCAAAAAAAAAAAAACAAAACAGCATTATTCTGAGAAGTCCGTAGGTTTTGTTGGGCTGTCACAGGGGTCTGTGATGCAGAACAGATGAATTATCTATGGCCTACTCCAACCCCCTCATTTTACAGATGAGGAAAGTAAGGCCCAGGAGGTAACATGCTTTGCCCAGGATCACACAGTCTAGTTTTTTTCAGTGATAGAAGTTCTGGGGAGGAGTGGCTCACCTTCCTCAGTCACCCAGACCTAAAACACCTGTTTAGCCTTGCATTGCTATTTCTACTTTTCCCCCACAAGTTCATACACAGTGAATAATAGCATGAAAAGATACAATTGCATGAGTTTCCAAAGGATATTAAACAGCCCCCACTTCAGCTGGGAAAGGTCCCCCTTCCTCAAGGGGCAGTGCTGCAGAATTTCACAATACCCTGGCCCCAGGGCCAGGAAAATCTCATAACTCCCAAAGAACTTGGAAGGGGGCTCTGCCACTGTCTTCTCCTAACAGTGATTTATTATTATTTTCTAATTTATTAAAACAAAATATACATAGGAGGGGGACAGCATAAAGCTACTTTTAGATATCATTTTCCTAAGAGTCTCATGTCGGGGCAGCCAGGTGGTACAGTGAATAGAGAACAAGCCCTGGAGTCAGGAGGACCTAAGTACAAATGTGGCCTCAGATACTTGACACTCACTAGTTGTGTGACCCTGGGCAAGTCACTCAACCCCAGTTACCTCACCATAAAAAATAAATAAAAGCAGGGTATCTTTGAAGACTTGTTATTCAGATAATTAACTTCTCTGAAGCTAAATTCTTTCAGCAAATACTATGTATGGCTTAGTCAATCCCCTGGAATGAACATGTGTCCCAGAATGTTGGTGCTTTTCCAACCTCGCCTTGACTTGTCCAGTGTATAAACTTGGCTTTGAAGGGCCTGCCACTCTCAGATTTTTTGGACCCTTTCTCTGAATTTGCCAACCGACTACAGACACTAATGATATCTTGCAAATGTAGGTTTTGAGAGACAAAAAAAAAAAAATGGGAAATGGGATAAAGAGCTATTGTTATCCGAAGAAATTAAATTCTTATTTTTCTCTGAACCTTTTGAAATGTATTCTTCCGACATCCAGGATGCCCATCCCACTATGTCTGGCTTTCCTGCCCTCTGTCACTAGCTCCAGGAGGAAGGGGTCTCTTTCATTTAATTTCTTTTTTTTTTTTGGCTAGGCAATGGGGTTAAGTGATTTGCCCAGGGTCACACGGCTAGTAAGTGTTACATGTCTGAGGCTGGATTTGAACTCAGGTCCTCCTGACTCCAGGGCCAGTGCTCTATCCACTGTGCCACTTAGCTGCTCCTAGGGTCTCTTTCCACCACTCCCACTAGCTTCCCATCATTTCCCCTCCATTGTCCAGCCCTGCTGTTGCCCAGAATCACATCCAGAATAACATTCCCCTTGATGATTCCTACACCCTTCGAAGGAGAAAATTATCATTAAGAAATTATTATTATTTGGTGATTGGTTTTTGGCTGAGAAATCTCTGCTCTCTGCTCCCTTTGCACTGATGCTGCTCCTTTTAAATGGGGTGTGCGCCCTTCCAAGGAAACACATTTGAAAGCGCTGAGGGATCAGCTTTCTAGATATTAGAAAAAAAGGGAGAAGGGGCAATGGCCTTGAAGTCAGGAGGAGCTGAGTTCAAATCCAACACTTGACACTTGACACTTACTAGCTGTGTGACCCTGGAGAAATCACTTAACCCCCAGTTGCCTCACCAAAAAAAAAGCAAAAAAAAAGGGGGGGAGAATACTAAATGTTTAGAAACAATCACAGATGTTAATAGTACCCAAAAAAAAATGATAAAGTTCAGCAAGTACCAACTCACATGCCCACTTACCCATCTGTGCAAATCTGTATGAGAATTATCGTTCCATGGGTAGTAAGTCCTAGAGGCATCTCAAGTAGCCCCCAGACAAGGCTATCCCAGGTTCAAGATAGTCTGTGGGTTTGCATCTACTCAAAACCACTGCTCACAAGCCCCCAGTGATGGGTTTCCCTTTGCTAGTCAGACAGAAGATACAGTGAGTTCAAAGCAAAGACTTTGAAATAGTGCAGCAAGACGAGTAGCAATACTATTTTCCCCACAAACCTGGGGCTTATCATCCCACAAATGCACGTGACGAGAGAGATCGGCCACTGAGTCTGGCCCTAGAAGTATGTGCAGAGTGCTTGGTTTCATGCCAGTTTGGGGGCGAAAGGGCTAAGCCCCAGTTAAACACACAGTGTCCAGGGGAAAGTGAAGACATGTAGGGAACCAGGGTAACCAGGCTGTTACTCTGTAGGGCACTGAAGCTCTCTGCTCCATCCCTGTCGTTCCTGCTGGTTCTAAAGGATTGCCATTCACAAATACTCCACTGGTCACTGCAGATCACTGCCAGCTACTGAGCCACACATACTCTAGACACGATCTAACTGGAGAGGAGAACGGTGGTATTCTCACCTCCCTAGAAATGGACATTTTGCCTCTTTTAATTCGGCCCAAAATCACACTGGCTTTTTTTTTCTTTTTTGCTAGGGATAGCTTGGGGCCACACACTCTGTGGGGCATTGCTGGGTCCCACATCCCTCTAAGGACAACCCTGGGCCACATACCCCCTAGGGATAGCCTTCACATGCCTAGGGATGGCCATATGTGTCTTTGTTTAGTACAGTGCCTAGCAAATAGTAGACGCTTAATAAATGCTTGCTTACTACAAAGACTTACATGAACTGACGCAAAGTGAAGTGATCAGAACCAGGAGAACGTTAACAGTATACAGTATACAGTATACAGCAAGATTGTACAGTGATCAACTGTGGCTGACTTAGCCATTCTCAGCAATACAATGATCCAAGACAATTCTGAAGAATTTAGGATGAAAAATGCTATCCATAGGGAGCAACTAGGTGGTGCAGTGGATAGAGCACCAGCCCTGAAGTCAGGAGGACCTGAGTTCAAATGTGGCCTCAGACCAAACACTTGATACTTACTAGCTGTGTAACCCTGGGCAAGTCACTTACCCCCAGTTGCCTTAAAAAAGAAAAATGCTATCCATCCCAAGATAGAACTGATAGAGACTAAATGCAGATTGAAGCATGCTTTTTTTTTTTTAAACTTTCTTTATTTTTCTTAGACTTTTTGGGGGGGGTCTGTGTTCTCTTTCACAGCATGACTAATCTGAAAAATGTGTTTTGCCTGACTTCTTGCCTTCTCAGTGAGGAGGGAGGGGAATGTCTCTGCCCTCCCTTAGAACTACAGACATAGCCCATTTGACCCCTCCCAGCCCAGGCACATGGCTGGGCCTCCTGCCCTCCTGGCTCTACACCTCCTTGGGATGGCCGAGCCTGCTGGAAGTGATCTCACACGCTGTCCTTTTGACCTTTGTCCTCCTGTCTCTCCCCGCTCTGTCTGCAGCCTCCGTCCTGCCTGACCGGTTGGGGCTGTATCTCCACCATGGCTGGGCTGCTGCTCTGGGTCAGGCGGCTCTGGGCCTTGGTGCAGGTGGCCTGCCATGTGGTGGTGGGGAAGCTGCTGAAGACCCTTTTCCCGGACATGACGAAGAAACACATCCTGAGCCTGGGCCAAAGGAGTAGCATTAGTCAGAACACTCAGTTTGTGTATGAGAACTGGGGCCCGACGTTCTTCAGCCTCCAGTACTTCTTCTTTGTCCTGAAGGTGCGGTGGCAGCGGCTGGAGGACCAGGCGCTACCGGGGGGCCTGGCCCCCAACTCTCCTGTGGTCACCCTCAAGGGGGAGAGTCACCACATCTGGGACTTCATGCATGGTCAGTGAATTGGGGAGCAGGAAATGTGGCCCTGGGCATCAGTCAGTGAGTGGAGACTGGCCCGGATCTCAGTTGTCCCAGGCTGCTGGGGGGGGGGGAGGCAGGCCCATCTGGGCCTGTTTCCCCAATTTCAAATTAGGGAGACTGCCTGCTTCAGTGGGCTGTCTGAACAGTCCTGTGAGTGAATGTCTATGAAAACCTCCTGTGGGCTGTAAAACGGTTGGCAAACTTCTTTTCCTTTTTGTCTCTGAAATCTGCCACATAGTAGGCACTTAATAAAGACACGCTTAGTTAAATTGAATTGTGGTTGTCAGTTGACTTGGGGGGAATTCTAGCCTCTCGTTGGAAGTGGACCTTAAGTCATCTCACCCAAGCCTACTGCCCACCCCCACCCCTACTTTATAGGTGAGGAGCCCAGACTCAAACCCAGCTTTCTAGACTTCAAGTCTGGGCCCCTTTCCCTTCCAGCAGGCGGCCAGGGTGGACCTGAGGTACAACTGAAGACTGGAGAACTGTGGGACTTCTCAGAACTAAGCCCGACCAGGACAAAATGTTCCATTGCTGCTTTGAGTAAAGACGCTTACCTTAATTCTGTGATTTGGTCATTGGGACCTATTGGGGACATCCACTTCTGCATCAGCAAGCACTGACTGGGTAGCCCAGTGGTTAGAATCCCCTAGGGCTGGCCAGGCCAGAGCCCACTCTGTCCCCCATTGCCCTTGACTTCTCCTTGGGGCCGGACACACAGTTTCAATTTTGTTTGTGTCCCCAGAACCTCGCACCAAGTGGCCACTTCGTGAATTAAACTGAACTGATTAACTTCACGTGGCGTGTGTTTGGTCAGTTGATTTTCAGTGGTGCCTGACTCTCTGTGACCTCATTTGGGGTTTTCTTGGCAAGGATACTGGAAAGGTTTGCCATTTCCTTCTCCAGCTCATTTTCCAGATAAAGAAACTGAAGCAAACAGGGTGAAGTGACTTGCCCAGGGTCACACAGCTGGTAAATGTCTGAGGCCACATTTGAATTCAGGAACATGAGTCTTCCTGATTCCAGGCCCAGCACTTTATGCACTTCCCCACCAAGCTGCCCTGATAGGTGCCTAATCTCCTCCCAATTTTTGCCAGACATGCGCAGTATAGGATAGAGAATACTTCATTAGCAGCTATGCCACAAACTGGCAATCCACCTCTCCTCCCTGAGCCTCAGTTTCCTCAACTGTAGAACAAAGAGATTGGAAAAGATAATTAAGGTTCTTACCACTCTAACATTCAATGTTGTATGTTCTAGCATTCTCTATTCTGTGGTCCCGCCCAGACCCAACATCCCCTTACAGCTCTGCCATTCTGTCTCCCAAGGTCCCATCGAATTTTGATATTTTCTGTTCCAAGGTCCCTCTCAACTTTGCCATTCTGTGTTCTAAGGCCCCTCCCAATCTAAGGCCCTCCCAGCTGTGACATTTCTGTTCTAAGCTCCCTTCCAGCTCTGTAATTCCCTGTTCTAGGTCTTTGCTGGCTCTGGCATTCCCTATTCTAAGCTCCCTCACAACTCTGACATTTCGAGTTCCATAGGGCCTTCCAACCTCTGGCATTCCCTGTTCTAAGCTCCTCCCAGCTCTGGCTTTCTCTGTTCTAATTCCCGCAAAGCTTTTACATCCCTATTCTAAAGCTCCCTTGCAGTGCTGACATTTCCTGTTCTAGGTCCCTCCCAGCTCTGATATTCCCTGTTCTAGGTTCCTCCCAGCTCTGGCATTACCTGTTCTAAGGCCCCTCCCACTTCTGACATTCCCTATTCTAAGGTGCCTCCCAGCTCTGACATTCTCTGTTTTAGGTCCCTCCCAGTTCTGACACTCCATGTTCTAAGGGCCCTCCCAGCTCTGACATCATCTGTTCTAAGGGCCTTCCCAGCTCCGACATTCCTTGTTCTAAGGGCCCTCCCAGCTCTGACATCCCCTGTTCTAAGGCCTCTCCCATCCATAGCAGTGAACACTATTTGTCTCACCCCCAAGGAGCTGTCTCATTATCTAGAGTCTGTGTTAATGGGCACCAGGGTTTTCATGGTGGTTTTTCTGTTGCAGGCAGCAGGCCTTTGGTGTTGAATTTTGGAAGCTGCACCTGACCCTCATTTATCCTCAAATTCGACCAGTTCCAGAAACTCATTGAAGACTTCAGCTCGATAGCAGATTTTCTCATCATTTACATTGAAGAAGCTCATGCCACAGGTACAAAGCCGTGGTCCTGAATGGGTGGCTGGCTGGGTATCCTCCACGATGGTAACAAAGCCTAGATGCCCCCCAGGAGGAACACATGGTTTCTGAGTCCCTCCAAGGTCCCTTCCAACTCCAAGATTGTCACTGACAGCTGGTGGTGCAGTGGTTAGAACGCTGGGCCAGGAGTCAGGAAGACCAGGCTTCAACTCTAGGATCAGACACTTACTAGCTGTGTGACCTTGGCCAGGTCACTTAATCTCTGTTTGCCTCAATTCCCTCGGCTGTAAACAGACATAACAATGGCATCTATTTCCCAGAGTTTTGTAAGGATCCGATGAGATAATATTTGTAAAGTATTAACCACAGTGCCTGGTATCCAGTAGGAGCTCGATAAATGCTTATTGCCTTTCCCCTGATTCTCCTCCTCCTTTTTGTCAGGCTTTTGTACATCTTGCTCTCGGAGTTGTATGGACTCCCAGAGATTCTTTTTAAGAAAGGTTTAACTGATAAAATTTTAATTTAAAAATTTAAAAATATGCCACTATCGTCACCCAATACTCCCCATATAATACCTCCTTTGTTATGAAGAAAAATAGTTAAGTAAAACAATTCAACATGTTCAGTACATCTGATAGCATATACAACCCTCTGCACCCGTCGTCCACCACCTCTCGACGTAACGCTAATCTGAATTCCGATGTCTTCTCAGCGTCTTTTTCCTGTATGCAGTTGTGTTCATTGTGTGCATTGGTCTCTTGACTCTGCTTTCTTTGTTCCATGCCAGTTCATTCGAGTCTTCCCGAGTTTCTTTGAATCCTCATTTTTTCTCGCAGCATAATAATATCCCATTGCATTCATATACCACGGGCCATTCAGCCAGTCCCTGACTGATGGCTGCCCACCTTGTGTTCGTTGTTCACTACCAAAAAATCCCGTGTTGCTCTGAATATTTTAGTATATGTTGGATCTTCCCTCTCATTGACCTTCTTGGTGAACCCAGTAAAGGGATCTCTGGATCAAGGAAGATGGAACAGCCACCATTTTCCTCATATAATTCTATTGGTTGGGGCAAGTCATAGCTTTGTCAACAATGTCTTCCCAGAACCCCTCCAACATTTCTCATTTCCTTCCTTCATCACCCAGAATCCAAATTGTCCAATGAGTAACCCTTTATAACAGAGGCATCAGGCAGGCAGGGGGGCCCCACAATGTTCCAGAGTGCTGCCCAAACCAGATTAAAATGTAACTGGAAAATATTGAACAAAACAAATAAAAATACAATATAACATCTATAATGTTAATTTGCAGTATTCTAGGTCAAAATGTGGCAAGTAGGGATCATTTCTATTTGAGTTTGCTCTACAAAATACCTGGCAAGTGGTCATCCGGCCATTTTTGAAGACCTCCAACAAAGAAAGACCTCCCTGCCCCCCAAAATAGCCTGCTGCACTTGGAATCGTTCTGAATATTGGGAAGCTTTACCTTGAACCAAACTGAAATCCCCCTCTCTGTGACTTTCACTCATTCCTCCTATTTCAGTTATCTGGGGCCAAGCAGAATAAAGCTAATCTGTCTCTTAGATGACAGCCCTTCAGATACTTAAAGGCTACTATCAGACCCCACCCCCAACCCAAGGCCTTTCTTTTCCAAGTTGCATTGTTGTTGTTCAGTCGTGTCTGACTCCTGGTGACCCCATTTGGGGTTTTCTTGGCAGAGATACTGGAGTGGCTTGCTGTTTCTTTCTTTGGCTCATTTTATAGATGAGGAAACTGAGGCAAACAAGGTAAAGTGACTTGCCCAGGGTCATACAGTCATGGTAAGTGTCTGAGGCCAGATTTGTCTTCCTAACTCCAGGGCCAGGACTCTTATCAACTGCATCACCTACCCGCCTCAAATAAATGCTAGCTGTTACATATAAAATTTCATTCGTGATAGGTCTGCATCATTCATGGGCTCACATCTATAGAAATTTAGTGATTCGGTCTTGCGTTTCCCTAAACTCTTAGAAATCTGCTCTCACAGTGTCTAGGGAACCTGTCAGACTGTGTCCAACTAACACTGCAGTGAAATGTTAGCAGCCAGTGGTAGCAGTGGGTAGAGTACTGGCCCTGAAGTCAGGAAGACCTGAGTTCAAATCTGGCCTCAGACACTTGACACTTAACTAGCTGTGTGACCCTGGGCAAGTCACTTCACCCCATTGCCTGGAAGAAAAAAAAAGAATAGGAATATGAGGGGGGACCTATAAATTAGGGAATGGCTGAGCAAGTTATGGTATATGAATGTGATGGAATTCTATTGTGCTGCAAGAAATGAAGGGAATAGTTTCAGAGAAACTTGGGAAGATGCAGATGAACCGATGCAAAGTGAAGTGAGCAGAACCAGGAGAACAATTTGTTCAGTGACAACAATATGGTAAAGATAAACAACTTGGAAAAAATTAGAAACTCTGATCAGCGTGATCACACCTACAATTCTAGAAGACTATAATGAAACACACAAGCTACTTCCTGGAGAGGTGAGAGAGACTCAAGGTAAAGAAGGAAACATACATACATACATACATACATACACACACACACACACGTGCATGTATATACACACAATATATGTATATGCCCATATACATACATATATGTACATATATGTATATATTTGCCTCTGTGTGTGTGTGTGTGTGTGTGTGTATATAGACATGCTGGGCAGCTAGATGGTCCAGTGGATAGAGTACTGGTCTGGAGTTCAAATTTGGTCTCAGATACCAGTTATGTGACCTTGGATAAGTCACCTTACCCTGTTTGCCTCAATTGCCTCATCTGTAAAATGAGCTAGAGAAGGAAATGGCAAACCACTCCAGTATCTCTGCCAAGAAAACCCCAAATGGGGTCATAGAAAATGACTGAACGATGAATATGGACGTGACCTTTGCAGAAATTTGTTTTGCTTAACTATACATGTTTATAACAGGGGTTTTGTTTTTCTTTCATTCTCAATTGGGGGGGTAGTGAGGGGGAGGGAGACAAGGTGGATTTTCACTGGTTGAAAAAATAAAATCTAATTTAAATAAATACTAGCTCATGTAGCTGCCTTTGATTAGCTATTAGCACATTCCTACCCAGCCCTGAACAGAAGCTACTTTCAGGGTCATCTAGATTGGCTTCAAATTTTAAATACAGTTAGAAAAATCTGTTTTTTGAAATCCACAGACCCTAGGTTAAGACCCTCTGATAGATCTCTTAATTTCCTTGTAGCTTTTGAGTTCACTGGAGTACAGCTTCACTTATATAAACCTTATTCCCTGACTCTTTTCAAGATTCTTGATGATAAATGTCTGATTCCACTTTGCTCTCTCTCTGTCTACAGGGCCTTTTATCCCTACCTACATATGACACTCTCTCTCTTTTTCTGTATCTCTCTCTCTCTTTCTGTCTCTCTCTCTCCCCCCTCCCTCTCTCTCTCTCTTTCTGTCGTTCTCCCCCCCTCCTCTCTCTCTCTCCCTCTCCCCCCTCATACACAAATATGTGGTGGTATTAATCTATTTTAACATTTCAAATACATGAAGATACATTCATTCCAAAACGTGATAGGGAACCCACTGTCCCTGAGGCAGAAACGCCCATTCCATATTTGATGAGATTAAATGTTAAATTTTTCCTCCTGTTGAGCCATAATCTTCCAATTTCGGTCCTTGGGTGCTCTGTGAATAACATGATGACCCTTCAAATACTTGAAGACAGCCTTCACATTCCCCTGAGTCTTCTCTTCCCAGCTAAACAATCCCACTTCCTTCAGCTGACTTCTAGTACTTGGCATATAGTAGGTGCCTAATAAATGCTTATTGATTGATTGATGAGGCGTTAATTCCAGGTCTTTTGCCATCCTGGTCACCCTCCTCTGGTGGCTTGCCATCTGATCAACATCCTTCCTAACAATGGCACCCAGAACCGAGCCCAGGTCTCCACGTGAGACCTAAGCACAGCAGAGGGCCGCCATCCTGGGTGCTCTGCCCATGCGGCCCAACGTCCCTGCTGACTGACCAGGACAACTTGGTCTTTCTTCAGGCCCAGACTCAAACCCAGACTCCTCAGTCTGCCAAGAGGAGGGACTGAGATCAGATTTCTTATGATTTATGTATCTAGGTTCGTAGACCCCCGAAATCTATCCAGGGACCCCAGGTTAAAAACACCAAGCTGGAGAACCCCAAAGGTCCCTTCCATGTTGAAATCAGTGACTGGTCTTCTGACAGCCCAAGGCCCCTGCTGCTCACAGCCTCTCATCCCGATTCTGGGAGAACAGGGCAGCTCCGTTACCTATTTCTCACCAAGTGGCTGAGCCCAGTGACTGTCATACTCCTAATGCTGCAAGTCACTCTTTCTTCTTCCCAGAGTGAGGGATCAGCGGCTCCTCTGGGTGAGCCTTCCCTTGCAGCTGGCCTTCAGCTGCCTGCTGTGCTAGAGATGTCCTAGGGGACTCAGGATGGGGACCTGTAACTTGCAGGGCTGGGCCTGGTTTCTTTTTCGGGCCGTAGTGAGCACATCCTGAACCTGTTTGTGGAGCCTGAATCCCTCATTAACCACCTCAAAACCTTCCATCAAAGAATGTTATCATTATCATCCATCGCACCCAAAGTCATCTCTCTTCTTCCCTTTCCCATTGCCTGGTACCTACAACTGCTAGTGCCTTCCCTGTCCAGCCTCAGAAGCTGACTAGAGGCATGACCCTGAGCAAGTTACTTAGCCTCTCTGTGACTCCGTTTCCTCATCTATAATGTGGGCATAATAATTGCACTTACTCTACAAGGTTGTTTCAAGGATCAGTGGCTGGCACACAGTAGATGCTTAATAAGTGCTTATTTCCCTTTTTTCTTCCTCTGAAACTATCTCCAATTTACCCTGTATGTATATTGTTTGTACCTGTTTGCATGTTGTATCTTCGTTAGAATATAAGCTCCTTGAGGGCAGGGACTAGGCTCTTGCCTTTCTTTGTATCCCCAGTACTTAGCACAATGCCTGGCACATAGAGGTGCTTAATATACGCTTGCTGACTTGACTTGACTTGTCTTTCTCCTCTAGATGGCTGGGCTTTTGCAAACAATATAGACATTAAACAGCATCGCACCCTCCAAAATCGCATGGAGGCTGCCCAGCTATTAATGGACAGGAAGCCACTGTGCCCCATTGTTTTAGACACCATGGACAACCAGACCAGCAAGAAATATGCTGCACTCCCAGAGCGCTTCTATGTTCTCCTGGAAGGGAAGATCCTCTTCAAGGTATGAGTGGGCTTTTGAAAAAGACTTGGGGGTCTTAGGGAACCACAAGCTCAGGGTGAATAATCAACATGGCATGGTTATCTAGAACATTAATATAATCTTGGGAAGCATTAAGATAAATACCGACTAATGGGTTCCCTAGCTATGTGACTCTGGACAAGTCATTTAACCCTGTTTGCCTCAGTTTCCTCATCTATAAAATGAGCTGGAGAAGGAAATGGCAAACCATTCCAGTATCTTTGCCAAGGAAACCCCAAATGGGGTCACGAACAGTTGGACACAATTGAAACAACTGAACAGCAAGAACAAACAATAAACATTTCTGTGGGGTCTTACAAACCCTTATGTACATTATCTCATTCAGCTCCATCATAAGTCTCTGAGGTAGGGCTACAGTTACAGTTATCTTCATTTTACACGTGTAAGGGATGAGATTCAAGGAAGCTGAATGATTTGCTACAATTAGTAAGTGCCCCACAGAGAATTATTACCCAGGGCTTCTCCTTGAGCATTCTGCCCTTCCGCCATGTTGCTTCTCTCTGACGTGATGGTGGTGACGTGTGTTTCAGAAGCATGTAGCATGGATGAGGAGAGCTGGCCTAAGATCAATGCTCTCTTGAGCCCCTTCTATCTCTAAAGCCGATGAGCCCATAGGGCTGGGCAGCTAGGAGACACCTTAACAAGCCAACACCCCGTTCGTTATCAGCATGGTGGATTGGCTTCTCCTGGCACAGTGGAAAGAATCCTGGGAGTTGGGAGACCTAGGTTGGAGTCCCGGCCTTGACGCCAACCTCTTGTGTGACCTCGGGCCAGTTGCTTCTGCTCTCTTGGTCTTCATTTGCTCACCTGTAAAAGAAAGGGGTTGGCCAGTGAAATTCTAAAGGTCCCTTCCAGTTTCAAGTATCAAATGTGTAGTAAGGATTGAAGATTGATCCTGCAGTCAAAGCCCATCAAAGATGTTGTGTTTTTTTTCTCTTTCAGGGTGACCCAGGCCCTTGGAATTACCACCCAGAAGAAGTCCGGGCTGTCCTGGAAAAGTTCAGCCGATAAACCACAAGGAAGTTCTGCATTTCCAGTGGCAGAGGAAATTAAGGCTTCTCGCCTCCCCCATGCGCCAGATACCTGCTGGGCTGGAAGGCGCTTGGATCATTGGCTCCCAAGGTCCTCATCTCAGACGCTGAGTCGGCTCAGCTTGCTTGGTTACTCCCAAGTTCATTTAAGAAAAATCTGCTTTTCTGATGTCTTTGCAAGCCTTCTAATCATCACGTGCGGCGGATTCTGTCCGGTTTTGGAAGGATCCGGTAGGTACGTCCCTGTGTGTTTCAGTCCTGCTTCTGTGAATATTTATTTATGAGAGTCATAGCCTAAAGCTCAGGCCAGCTGGGACTCGATGTGAGAAAATGTTTGTAAGAGGCAGTTGAGTGCACATGGAAATGATTAAAAAGATCTAACGATACTTCAGCGGAGGTAGCCTTTTCATTTTCTGTTCTGCACATGGTGAATGAGTGAATGAATGATTGATTGAAAAAACTTTTATTAAGCATTTAATATGTTCCAGGCACTGTACTCAGCGTTGAGGATACAAACGTAGAGTGAGCTAGTCCTTGCCCTCGGAGAACTTACATTCTAACAGGCACTTAGCACATACCGGGGATAGTGGCCGGAGAAAGGCACTTTGGAATGGGAAGTCAGTCACAGCAATAGTGGGTGAAACAATCATGCGATTTATTGGCACAGCCTTTCTAGAAATAACGGGGAGGGATAGGGAGCAGATGGCTGGGGTGAAAGGCAGTGTTCTGGGGCTGGCTGGAGACACTGGGCTCTCAGCCTTTGGGACAGCCAGGAAAGGAGTTCTAAAGGTGAGTGGCTTCATTACCCCAGGGTATGATCTCAGTCCCCCAACTGGTCCCTATGGCTTTAGTTTCTGATCTCACCAGTCCTGCCTTCGCATTAAGTCTCAAAGGTTTCTTAATGTATTGGTGTCACTCCATTACTGTCCTGCTCAAACACCTCAAATGGCTCCACATTGCTCACAGGAGAAAAGAAGAGCTAGTTAATTAACCACGATGTCACCAGATCCCAGCCTCAACCTACATTTCCGACCTCCTTTCATTCTGTTCTTCTTTACGTGTTCTATGTCCAGCCAGACTAGACAGCTAGTTAGCACTTCTCTCACCTCAGCCTGTACCCTCCTGGCCAAGAGTAGTAAGGACAACTGTTGCAGAAACATCCCCACTCCCCAAGCTGAAGGTTCACTCTCCCCTTGTACAACTTCCTAGCTGTGGAGCTCCAGGCAAATCACGTAACCTGTTTGCCTCAGTTTCCTCAAGTGTAAAATGGGCATAATCACAGCACCTGCCTCCCAGGATTATTGTGAGGATCAAAGATAATAATTGTAAAGCACTTAGCACAGCACCGGGCACACAGCAGGTGCCACATGAATGCTTATTACCTCCTCCTTCCCGCTCCTTCCCCTTGGGTGGGTCATTTCCAACACTTCCAGAACAGTTTGGAATCAGTACTCCAATGGACGCTTCCCGGTCACCTGTCAAATGAGGGAGCTGCACCAGAGGGTCTCAAAGGCTTCTCCTAGCTCTAGCATTTTCTATCTTCAGGGTGGGGGTGGGATTTCTTTGAGAGTCAGTTTCCTAAGGTGACTTCCAAGTCTAATATTCTATACTCCAAGACCCCTTCCAGCTCTGCCTCTATTTATCATAATCTAAGATTAAATGAGATATTTTAAAAGTATTTTGCAAACCTTAAACCACTATAGAAATCATCATCATCATTGTTGTCATCATTACAAGGTTCTTTCCCTATCTAAAATTCTCTGGTCTATGATTCTGCCTAGGGAGATAGACACGCAAATTACAAGATAAACAACAATTTAAGGCAGTGTGGGTTAATGCCAGAAAGACAGTTCAGATGATAAGCCACACTCCAAAATGGGCCTGTTCAAAGATGTGCCTTAACTGAGTGCATGACTCAAAGGTCACGGGCATGTCCTGCTGTATTTTATCTAAAATGAACTCTGGCTATCCACATCCAAAGAAAGAACTATGGAGTTGGAATGCAGATCGAAGCATACTATTTGCTACTTTTTTTTCTTCTGTTGAGTTTTGTTTCCTCTTTCTTGTGGTTCCTCCTATTGGTTCTAATTTTTCCTTACAACATCACTAATGTGAAAATATATTTAATATGAATCTATATGTATAGTCTATATCAGATTGCACACCGTCTTGGGGAAGGAGGCGGGGAGGGAGGGGGAGAAAAATTTAAAACTCAAAAGCTTACGGAAGTGATTGTTGATAAATTAAAATAAATTAATAAAAAAAATAAAATACCATGAACTCTGAAGCCCGCCCTTTACTTCAAAAGGGACAGATGTTTAGGACAAGGGCACAGTCCAGCAGCACGGACCATTCACAGCCAGTCTCGAGGATCAGTTGAAGGACGTGGGGACATTTAGCCAGCAGGGATGTCAAGAAACTGTATTATAACTGCCGTATTTCAAGGGCCATCCTACAAGGAGGAGAAGACACAAGTAGTAACAATACCCATTGGGGCTCATCTCTACTCACAACATAACCACTCTGCCCCCATCTCAGTCACTAACTGCCTGTGTGACTTTGGGCAGGTCACTTACGCTGTTCTCTGCCTCAGTTTCCTCATGAGGGAGTTGGAGAAGATGGCATCGAATGTCCCTTACAGCTTAAAATCTATGACCCTATCACTTTCCACCTGGACTGTTACAATGGCCTCCTAATTAGTCCCTCTGCACTCAGTCCATCTTCTGGATGACTGTCAATTTGAAATCCTTAAAAGTATAATCTGACTGTGTCACTTAATTTTTAAAAATTCTGAACTTAACAAACACCAAATAAAATGAGTTTTTCCATGTACAGAGTAGAACAGAAAAAGACGATTGTACATGGACTGTAGATCTCTCTTGCTTTTCTTTAAATATGTAATAAACTAAGCATGTAACCTTCCACCACTGCCCAGACGTCCTCTTGTTCTCTTCTGTGTCCATTAAAAAAAGTTTAATGACCTTTTTTCTTTCCTTTCCTTCCTTCTTTCCTTCCCTTCCCCCCTTTTCTTCTTTCTTCCTTTTTTCTTTCTCCCTTCCTTCTTTCCCTCCTTTCTTTCTTGCTTCCTTTCTACACTATTTCTACCTCCCTTACTGAAAACAAAAGAACAAAAAACCCTGGGGGACCTTTTCAACGTGACTTCTCTTCGTGTGCCCTGTGTTCCAACCAAAGTGACCTGCTTGCTGGGCCTCATACGTGACAATCCATCTCCCACCCCTGGGCTGTCTAGGCTGTCTCTCCTTCCTCACCTCTGCCTGAGAATCCCTAGCTCTCTTCAAAGCTCAGCCCCTTCCACGTGAGGTCTTCTCTCATCTCCCCAGCTGCTGTTCCTGTTGCGCCTACCTCAGACTGCACTAAGACTTTTGGGACACCCTGTTAACAATGAGGCAATGAGCTCATTCTCATGCAGAGTCCATTCTCTAGCCAGCCCAGGTCGGTAGACTATGATGGCAAAGAGCTGTTCACCCCTGTCATCTTCTTGCCACCCTCCCTGCCCCTGGCTCTAGGAATTGTAATCAAATCACTGCTACCCTTGCCCCTGGGAAGATGTCAGTAAACTGCAATATGGCGCCACTTACTATTTCTGTGACTCCCAGACCAAAATCCTCTCCATTGGCCCATCTCCGTTAGAATATAAGCTCCTTGGGGCAGCTAGGTGGCACAGCGGATAGAGCACCGGCCCTGAAGTCAGGAGGACCCGAGTTCAAATCCAGCCTCAGACCAAACACTTGTCACTTACTAGCTGTGTGACCCTGGGCAAGTCACTTAACCCCAATTGCCTAAAAACAAAAATAAAACAAAAAACAAACAAAAAAAGAATATAAGCTCCTTGTGAACTAGTCCAGACATTCTGGAGAGCAATTTGGAACGACACCCAAAAGGCTATAAAACTGTGCATACCCTTTGACCCAGCAATACCACTACTAGGTTCATACCCCAGAGAGATTTAAAAAAAAAAAAAGGAAAAGGATGCACATGTACATATTTAAGTACTTATAGCAGCTCTTTTTATGGTGGCAAAGAATGGGAAACCAAGGGGATGTCCATCAACTGGGAAATGGCTAAACAAGTTCTGGTATATGAATGTGATGGAATACTACTGTATTATAAGAAATGATAAAGGGGACAGTTTCAGAGAAACCTGGGAAGACTTGTATGAACCGATACAAAATAGAACCAGGAGAACAGTGACTGTGTACAGTAACAGCAATATTGCAACACTCATGAACTGTGAAAGTCTTGGTAACTGATCACCACAGTGACCCACAACCAGTCCAAAGGACTCATGTAAAATGCCGTCCGCCTCCAGACAGAGAACCTATGGGCTCAGCAGTGCAGACGGAAGCATTTTTTCCTTTATTTTTTTTAACATGGCTAATGAGGAAATGTTTTGCATGATGGCATGTGTATAATGGGTATCATATTTCTTGCCTTCTCAATGGGTGCAGGAGGGGCTGGAGGGAGAGAAGTTAGAACTCAAAAATAAAAATAAAACAAAAAAGAAAGTAAGCTCTTTGAGGGCAGGCGCTGTCTCCCTTTTGCATTTATAACCCCAACACTCATCACAGTGCATGGCACACAGGAAGTTCAAGAAATGCTTTTCCTTCTTTCATTAGTTACACACATACATGTTGTTTTCACCAATGGACCACAACGTGCCATTGAGAAAGGGCCGCTTAATGTCTTGTCCCAGAATGTTTAGTGCTTAGCATGGTGTTTGGCTGAGCCTGGGTGCTTAGTAAATTCTTGTGGAATCACTAGCGATGAAGTTGCCAAGAGGCTGAGCTAAGGAAAAACTTCCCACATTAAGAACTATTGAAAAGTGGAGCGCGTCCCCTGTCCCCGGAGGTATTCAGAAGGTGGCCGATGAATGACCACTTGAAGGCCCCGTTAACGGAAGGAATTCCAGACCAGGCTGGGCGTGGGCTTCCAGGGGTGACCTCTGAGGTCCCTTTGGCCCTTGTGTGACGCCCCACTCCCACTCCAAGCCTTGTACATAGCATAGGCTGATAAAGGCGAATCAGGCCGATGACAGGAGAAGAAACGAAAGTGCCAGAGACACACAAGTGAACCCAAACCCCTTTAATATGCTAAGAGGACAACTGTGTATTTACACAAATATCAGTACAAAATCACACACAAGCTGCTTTCAGGAATTCTTAGGTGAGGGATGAGACATCGAGTCCTTCTATAGAAACTCTGTGCACTGACACAAAGTGATCGAAGGCCGATTTGATAACGATCCGCAAGTGAGTGGCGTAGCCGTCCCGGAACTGTGGGAGACAGAGAATCACTGGGAAGTGCCATAGTGGTAGACTTATTTGTTCAACAATCTGTTGACTAAAGATGGCAGCTGGGGATGGGCATAGCACTGCCAGCCCCCCCAAATTTCCCACCCATTTTAAAGATGACCCTTGAAAGACTGTGCCTGCCAGGAGGCCATGGGCAGGTCACGGCTGTCCACGCGGCCGGCCCCTGGACTCTGATGTACCTCCTGGCTCCGCCTCCATCCTGTGGGGGGATCCTGTGAGCTCTCCTGGCCCAGAAGCTCTGGACCTTCCCTGCTTCCCTCAACCTGCGTCTTTCCTGCATGGTTCTGACCGTTCACTCCCCTCCCTTGATGGGGTCACAGGATGTCCTCACACTGGACAAATGGGGAAACTAAGGCACAGACAAGGGAAGTGACTTATGCAAGGCCCCACAGAGAACAGAGTGGAGACTCTAGGCCAGTGCCTCCAAACCCAAATCTAGTGTCTTCACCCCAGCTCCCGTTCCAAAGAGCTCTAGAATGCTGTATCCAGAGACTGAACAAAACGAGGTTCTGTGGTAATTCTCTGGGTTGGACTAAAGCTCCACTCCCTGTTATACTGAGATGACCTCCTGTGAGCAGGACCCTCTGTCCTTGGGCTTATTTTATGCTGCGGCTAGTGCGGGCAGCCCTTCCTGGAGTGACCTGTGCCAGGGACGTTCTGCATGGAGCTCTCCCTGGTGCAAGACAGAGAGGCGTGAAGAGCGGCTGCCCTGCTAAGGCTCATGAAGAACTTTAGGTGGACTTTCCAGGGCTATGATGGAGGCCTGTGAACTGGCCGGTGCATGTAAGCGCTTACCATAAACTCTTCCATCTGAAGCTGTCCCTCGGTGTGCACCAGGTCTACAAGAGAAATTCAACAGCACGGAGTTATTGAGCTTGTCGCCCCATACCCACTGCCCATCGAGGTCATGGAGGTCATCCAAGGTCATGGACAGACTGCCATCAAAGGATGAGGAGGAGGCCACTGATCCAGGAAGGATCTAACCCGCAGCCCCGCCCGAAGCCCAGAGCAGGCCTGCTTCTGCCTCCTTTTAGATCCATGTCCTTCCGGCTAAAACCTGACATCCCATCTCCACAAGGCATCCTCTGTTGGCTCAGGTCAAAAGAAATTCAAAGGCCAAATGATGTTTTGTTTTGTTTTTTTCCCAAATCAAAGAGGATCCCAGATGAAATGGAAAGCTCAGTGGTGAGGACCAAAGTACCAGAGCTGCCTCCCACTGTGCCCTTCCTGCTGACCCCTGGATTAAGGACCAAACCCAGCTCCTCCACAGGGGAATTTTCAGGGTGAGTTTGACTTGGATTTCCAAAGCTGCCTATGATCTTTTCTGATCTCTTTTCCTTGGGAGTGTTTTTAAACTTCACTTGGGTAATTTTAAAAGCTTAATCTAAAAAATTTTCATGTAAAAAAAAAAGTTTAATCTGAATGTGTTAATTCAACCTATCAAAAGCAAGCCCATTAAATATGCTACCCAAGGGACTTATGGGCATTTCCAGAACAGGGGATGTCAGAGCTGGGAATGGCCTTAGAACCTAATGTTGGAGTGGGGGGAAATGTCAAAGCTGGGACAGAGATGAGAGGGAGCTGAGAACCTAAATGCCAGAACTGGCACAGAATGCCAGAGTTAAGAAGGAACTTAGGACAGAGAATGAATGTCTGGGGCTGAAGGGGCCTTGGCCCTCACCCACTCCCTCATTTTACAGAGCAGAGGAGACTAGAACCTGGGCCTACTCATTCTGGAATCTCTTTCTATTACACCAGGTAGAGTCTCCTGTCCAACTGAATTCTTAATAAGAGGGGTCAGAAGGACCCAGAAGGTCTTCATCCTTTTTCACCCAGACCAGGAATGTAAGGACATAAAGTAATGACCAATTTCTCACGCAGTTCACGACACGGGCAATGATGCACTTACCTCTTTCCACCCACCGTTCAAAGTCAACTGGCTCTTTGGCATTGCTCTTATCAATTCTGATACTCCGCACTAACATTGCAAAGAGAGAGACCAAGAGCTGCATCAATGCTTCGTCGGTTCACGTTGCTCTCCCATCCCTCCACCCATCCTGGGGCCGGCCCGGGGAGCACAAGCAACGCGCCCGTGCCTGGGACGTGCCTCCTGGAAGGCTTTCGGGGCCGGTAACGGAATCTGCAGGTGCACTTGTGAGCGGAGGGGTGACGGGGCCTCCCCCTTACCGCTCACCGAGGATCCTCAGTAGCCAGGAAGGCCCCTTTACAGGTGACAAAGAACAACTCCGTCAGGCCAGCGTGTCTGCGGCTTCGTCTGCACAGGGGCCTCTCCTTTTGGTCTTAAGTGAAGGGTCCCACAGTCAGTACATACAGAGGCTGGGTCCTCACTATGCTGCTTCACCCAGAGGAAGCCAAGGGAGGCCCAAGGTCGCACAGTAAACAGGTGTTGGAGGAAGTTCTCGAATCCATTCTCCCTGACTCCAAAGCTCAAGCTGCCTCTCCTGTATATGAGGGTAGGGATGGCACCACGAGCTGGGGAAGGGAAGCGGCGGCAGACCGCAGGAGGTGGGGTCCTGGGGAGAAGTGAGCAGGGAGGGCCAAGAGACAGGGATGCCAGTGTGGCCTCAGGAGAGGCCCTAGGGGTTCAGCTGGAGGCAGGGGGGCTAGTCAATGTCTCAGAGCCCACCCTGAGGCACCCCCAAGGACACTGAACTCCATCACTTTCTTAAGGCCACACAACCACAGAACCCTGAATCAGGAGCTGGGGTGTGGTGGTTCACTGATTCGGGCTGCTCCCGTGGTGGAAGGGGAGGCCCTGCTTCTGCCCCTCTGAGGGAGCAGCTGGCACCGTGATCAGACTTGTGCCAACCTCTGGGGCCAGAAGAGGCTCTGGGCCCCCTGACTAGGAATGTTTGCTCCTTAAATATAGTAAAGCATTTCTGAAAAACTCAAACTCAGCTCGGGAGGAAGCGCAGCCGAAGAAGCAGACCCTGCCTCAGAGGGGCCTGGCTGTGACGCTGGAGGACACAAGAAGCTAGACTCCCCACAGCATTGGGGCACCTGCAAATCACGGCTGCGGATGGAGGTGCACGAGGCCCCTCTCGGGACTCCTTCCCCACCTCCCCAGGCCCTCCCTCTCATCCCTTGGGAATCTCATTTGCTCCCATCACGTCACGACCCCTCGGGGACAACTCTCCAAGCTAGTCTGGAGCCCAGAGACCCCCCTTCTGACGCCCACAGGATCTGCCCCAGGTTGCAAACTGAGCTGAGTATCTTTCCCCCAAACCCGGTTCTCCTCCTGAAGCCCCTATTTTTCTGTGGGGTCCCACATTCATTCACCTAGCTTCCCGTACTTGAACCCTTGGGGTGATCTCTGGAATGCAGTGTGGCCTGGAGGGGCAGAAGCAGTTGGAACAAGGGATAATCCAGGGTCGCAGCCTTTCCCCTCTGCTCCCCATATCCCCCAAAGGAATTCTATGGCTCCCCAAATATGTGCCTTCCTGGCTACATTCCCTTCTGGTGAGGTCTCTTTCTGGGGCCCTCATGAGGACAAAAGGGTGTCCATGGAGGTCAGAACACTCCAGAGTAAATGAGCCAGGCTCTCTGTTTTAAACAGGAATTTGGTGCTGATGCCAAATGAACCCTCAGCAAAAATGCCGTGGCATTCAGGGCTCTGTTAAACTGACTTGGTGTGTTTTTTAATAAGGTCTCTTGGCAAACACCGCCACAGAGTGGGCTGCATGGAGCTTCCTGTATCCTTGAAGGTGCTCAGGCAAAGGTCTGTGTTGGGAACCACTCAGCTGTGCCCCTCCCTGCCACCCTACTCTGCCCCCCTCACCCTGTCCCCTTACCAAAATAGCACTGGAGGGAGAGCTTTTCGATCTTCACGTGTTTGTGAAAACAAATAATGAACTCCTGGGGGAACATCCCCGTGGTGGCCCAGAAGGTAGCTGAATTCCTGCAGATAAAAGGGAGTTGGCTTTTTTCAGAGGCCAGTCGAAGCCAGAAAGGTCTATGATTCAATTCTATTTGATGACTGTAAAGACAGACCACCAAATCACAAGACGTATCCGGGGGACAAAGGACTTTCATATCCATCGTGGGGACTGTCCTGGGGCTTCTTGGCCGGTGAAATTCCTAAAGAGGAAACTCCCTCCACCACTACAGATCACCACCTCTACGTTCTCTTCCACTCAAAAGTCTTGGAGAGCTGCCTGGGTCCTTGAGAAGATGAGGGGCTGACCAGCTAACCACAGAGGGGGCCTGGGAGGGCCCAGCTCTCTACCCATTACGCTTCCCCTCAGGGGAGGCCTGTAGATAGATATTATTATCCCCATTTCATAAAGAAGCTGGAGCACATGCAGCAGCCACACCCGGGTAATACTGTCCCAACAAAAGGCTAAACCAGGTTCAGAGTAACTGACAGGCCTCAAATCCATCAGTGACTTAGGGGATATCTACCCCGAGCCTGTGAGGACTGCCCCAGCTGAATGGGAGGATGAGAACAATTTGTTCCAACAGCCAGGAAGGCGGCTGAAGCAGACGTTCTGGGGCGCTTAGAGCTTGGACACTCGTCGTACCCCAGGCCATCACCGTCATCCTGCCTTCTGTCCTGCCGATGGACTCCCATGACTGAGAGAGAGAGTGAGACTGAGAACCTTGAACAGCTCTGCCTCACTCAAATCCAGTTCACTCAAGCAGTCACCCCTGCGGTCATCAGTCCTCTTTAGAATGAAGGACGAACAACAATCACAGCTGTGGACGAGCCAGCAGTCACAAAGCCCAGACTAGAAGTCAGCTCTCCAGGGCTCTGGCCACTCTCTCTCCCCTTAGCTCATTTCATTTAATTGTCCTTTCTGAGTTATAAAGTAGGTCCCAAGTACTTCAACGAACCCTTCCAGTGCCCACCCTGCTGCTCCTTCGGGAGCATCTCCTGCCCACCCTCCAATGGTCAGTCAGTGAATAAACATTTATTAAGCCTCAACCACGTGCCAGACATGGTGCTAAGCAGGGAGGACCTAAAGAAAGGAAGGAACAACAGGGTCCTGTCCTCAAGGAGCTCCCAATCTAATGGAGGAGATGGGATGCAAACAGAACCAGGTATAAATAAGGTATAAACAGGACAAATTGCAGATAATAAGCACTCCCTCCTTGCCCCTAACCACCACCACGGGGCCATTTACATGGTGCTTTCACATGTGAGGCCTCAAGGACAGAGTGGCCTGGGTTCAAGGCTTGACTCTACCAGACACTGACCGCTTTGGTGGAGGGGCCCATCACTGCCCCTCTCACTCCTGGGGCTCTTGGCTGGCTGCCTACCCTGCAGTGCTGGACTCTGCCCACCCGAAGGTCCCTACCCTGATCCCCCAGCTCTGGCCCTGGCCTTGTTCCCCAGACACTCCGCCATGCTACCTCTCAAATACAGACTTTTATCAAGGGCATTTAACAGGAAGATTTTTCCTCCAAGGCATCTCTTCTGATTCTAACTGCAAGAACTTCGTTACTGTGAGCTCCTGGAGGGGAGGGACCCATGGTTTGGTTTTTTTTTTTTTGGCTTCCCTTTGTATCCCAAGTGCTTGGCACATAGTAGGTGCTTAATAAATGCAAGATGACTCACTGATTATACAGAAGTTTTAAAATTTATACATCACTGCTCTGCTTAACTGATTTCAGGGAGAATATTCTAATTGTGGTTTGTGTGTTCATTTTTTTTTTTTTTGGCTTTATCAACTTGAAAGGAGAGAGTTGCCCTTGATGAGTTCAATTTGCCAGACCCAGAACCACCTTCAATGAACTGAGAAGTTGTGGATGTGAGAGCTGAGCCCCCATCAGTGATCTCAGAAAGAGGGAAGAGACTGGCAAGAGGGGAGAAGGATTAATGGTCCAATCTTCAAAAAAGGAGAGACGACAATGGCTCCCATCACCTACAAGTCAATTGTTTCCTTCCCTTAGACTGTAAGTTCCCCAAGTACAAGAGCTGGTTCACTTTTGTCTTGGTATTCCTAGCACCTAGAATGGTGCCTGGCATACAGCAGGGTCTTAATAAATGCTTGCTGAATGAATGAATAAGTGAGGGAATGAGCAGAGCCTAAAGAAAGGAAGGAACAACAGGGTCCTGTCCTCAAGGAGCTCCCAATCTAGTGGAGGAGATGGGATGCAAACAGAACCAGGTATAAATAAGGTATAAACACCAAAGAGCCATCTGGCTTCATCAAGAACAGGACTCCTCTTCCCACCTCCCATCTGCTGGCCCAGAGGGCTCCAGGAAAGGCCTGGGGAGCCTGTGTAGGGGCGGTCCTGTGCTAGGACCCCTTGCTAAAGTAAGTTAAGACCACAGTCTTGGTCACCATGTTGGTCCCAGACCTGCGGATGGGGGGAAGGGAGCCCTCACAATATCCCTTCATTACACCAGAATAATCCAATTTCCTTTTTCAACTGGGCAACTTGACTGATAGATCAGAGGAATTTTACAGATTATAGATACAGGTCTCAGATTTTGGCAGAGAATCTGACAAAGTCTCTTCCGATATCCTTGTGGAAGAAGGTGAAAGATATGAGCTAACTGTTGAACTCTGAGTGCAGATTAAGCCCTTTTACTTTTTATAATTTTGCTTGGTTTCTGTGTGTTTTCTTTTGCAACACAGCTAATAGGGAAATATGTTTTGCATGACTTCGTGTGTAAAAGTGACATCAGATTGCTCTCCTTCTCAAGGAGTGGTGGAAGGGCTGGAAAGAGGGAAAACATTTGGAACTCTAATTTTTTAAAAAAAGAACATTAAATTTAAAAAAATGTAAGTGGGAAATATTTAACAAAATGAATTAAAATACAGTTTTAAAATGAAAGAAAGACATGAGCTAGCTGAGCACTTTTAGGTGGCTCAGCACTTCCTCCAACCAATGCTTTCCATAACATGGATGTCATTTTTGTGCCTGGGCCTGATGCCTATTTTTCTTGGGGTCATTGTGGTTCAGCCTACACCCCCCATTCCCCTTGTTGCCTCCTCTACCTTTCATTAAGACAAGCCAAGAAATTATTGGTTGCTCTTCTCCTGGCAAATATAGAAAGCTCTGGGACATGGCAGAAAAACTGAAATCCTTCATTGTTAGCATAACATGGATACGGTAGGCTTGTGGTCTATTTACCAAAAGCATCAGTTAGGCCCTTCAGGTCAGGTGGTCTGCAGGAATTCTTCCTCTTCACCGGCCAGGTTCCCTTCTCTGAGGGACAAGCATCCGTGGCCCATCAAAATGACTAAAAGTCCTTTCTCCCTGGGTCTCAGTTTTGTCATCTGTGAAAGGGGAAGGTTGAATCCCAGCCTGGCTACTTTGTGACGCTGGGCACAAAACATCTAGTATCTCTCAGCCTCAGCTACTGAAATAATAGTCGCTAACGTTATAAAGTGCTTTACAATTTACAAAATGCCTTTTCTTGGATAATCCTCAGAACCCTATGAAGTGAGTGTAACAGCAATAGGATGGTTTATGTAAAGTGCTTTCAAGCCTTCAAGTGCCGCATACAGCTGTGTTATTACCGTTATTCTAATCGCAGCAGTCATCTGCAGTTTCCTTTTCTGTAAAATGGTCCCATCAAGGATGGGACTCAGTGGTGAGAAGGGGGAGAGAAGGCCGATGGGGGCGGGGGTGTCCATGAAGGGAGAGGTCAGGGCTGCTCCGCCCCTTTGAGACCCAAGGCTAGGGCTCCTTCATCCGCCCGATTCTAGTCTAGGGTCACCTTTGCTCACCAGGGGATGTGAGAGCCGGAAGGAGGGCAGCGGGCTCTGGGTTCAAGTTCTACCACTGACCCCGTCTGAGGCACCTTGGTCAGACCCCTCCCCGGCCTCAGCTTCTCCATCTGCCGATGAGCCTTGGCTGCCTCCCTGGCTCTAGCACTCTGGGACTACGTGGTCCAGCCCGGCCTCAGTTTCTCCGCCCTCTCCATGGCGGCCCGGCCTCCCTCCCTGCCCAGACCTCGGGCAGCCCTCCCTGCGGCAGCCCCGGGATCGCCTGCCCCGCACCCCGGGCCTCACCCATCAATAATGTTCTCGGGCGGGTACTTCTCGTCGCTGGACGTGGCCAAGATGACCTCGGTGCCCTCGGAGGCCAGGCACAAATCCACCATGCGCATGGCGGCGCCAGGGTGAGGGGGGCTGGTGGTGCGGGAGGGGGGCAGTCGCCTGGCAACCAGGGGGCGGCGCCAGAGCGAGGCCAGAGGGAAGGGAGGTGGAGACGCGTTGCCTGGCAACTGGAGGCGGTGCCAGAGCTAGAAGGCGGGGCAGGAGCGTTGCCTAGCAACTGGGAGGCCCTCAGCCCAAAGCGGGAGGAGGGGCGTTACCTAGCGACCAGGGGAGGTCTCAGGGTTGGAGCCTCAGCGAAGGGATTCCGGCTGTGCCCCGACCCATCCGCAGCAGCGTTCCGTGCCCTGCCTGGGCCGCGGGATTGAACCGGACCAGCTTGTCATCTACTACTTCGCTTGCTGATCTCATCAGCTCCCATGAATGTAATCACCATCTATGCTAATGATTCCCATATCTACCTCTCTGCTGACCTCCAATGTCGTATCTCCAGCTGTCTTTTGGACATCTGGAACTGGATGTCCAGTAGACATCTTAAACTCCACATGTCCCAAACCGAGCTCCTTATGTTTCCCCACCCCAAGCTCCCCGCTTTAAACTTCCCTATTACAGCAGAGGTAACACCATCCTCCCAGTCCCTCAGGCTCACAACCTAGGAGTCGGCCTGGATTCCTCCCTCCCTCTCACACACCCGCTCCAATCAAGCTGTTGCCAAGGCCTGTCCATTTTACCTTTGCAACATCTCTTGTCGATTTCACCTGCGCAGCATCTCTTGTCCGTTTCACCTTTGCAGGATTTCTTGTCCGTTTCACCTTTGCAGCATCTCTTGAATGTGCTCCCTTTTCTCTGACACTGCCCCCACACTAGTGCAGGCCCCCGTCATCTCACACCTGGACTATTGCAGTATCCTGCTGGTGGGTGTGCCTGCCTCATGACTCTCCGGGACTCCAGTCCATCCTTCACTTATTTATAAAAGTGACCTTCCTAAAGTTTAGGTCTAACTATGTCACCATCTCCTATTCAATGAACTCCATTGGCTCCCCATCACCTCCAGGAGCAAATTTTAAATCCTCTGTTTGGCATTCAAAGCCCTACCCTTCCAGTCTTCTTTCACCATACCCCTCTCTACACACTCTGAAGTTCAGTTTGGCCTCCTGGGCCAAACAGGACCCTCCATCTCTAAACTTCAGGTATTTTCCCTGGCTTCCAGTCTTGCCTAGAATGCTTTCTCTCCTCGTCTCTGCGTCCTGGGTTCCCTGGCTTTCTTCAATCTCAGCTAAAGTCTCCTACCTTTTACAGGAAGCCTTTCCCAGTTCTCCTTAATGCTAGGGCCTTCCCTCTGAGATTACCCCCAATTTATCCTGTCTGTATCTTGTTTGTACATCGTTGTTCTTTGAGAACAGGGACTGTCTTTGCCTTTTTTTTTTCTGTCCCCAGCCATTAGTATATGACCTTGTACATAAGTGCTTGCTTATTAAATATTTGTTGTCGATTTCACTGACTATATAGATGTAACCCTACATCACAATCACCATAGAGATGGAGCTATTCCCCCAGAATCCATCAACATTAGTACTGTTGTACTGAGGAATAATGAGAGAATTTTCATGAAGAATTCAGGAAGAAAGAGGCCAGAAGAGAAGCAGGTCCTTCTTGGGGCCATGTGACCAGGGCCTTTGGGTCAGAAGATTCTACTCACCAGTGCCCAACTCAAAGAAAGGGACTGAGACCCAAATGCTTTGACTGTGGCTGAGGTTACGAATATGTGATGGGCTGATCACACTAGGTTAGGTGAATGGCCCAGCTGTCCTGGAGAGACACTATCCCTTCTCCTCTAATTTGGAAACGATTGCCTCAATTTCTCCCCATGAGAAAGTGGAGTTGAGAGAAGCTTGTAGTCTGCGAATGCCCTTGAACCGTTCCCTTTCCCCTTTCATCTTTCCCTAATTACTGTTTATTCCTATTCTCATATTAAAATTTACCATTGCTATGTATTTAATTCAGGGGTGTTCTAGAACTTTTCATATTAACCAATCCTTAAATTTCCACTGTGAGCATTTACACTTCAGAAATCAGCAAATCGGGGCTTGACTGATTTATTTTTATTGTTTTGTTTGTTTTTATTTGTTTTATTGCTTGCCTAGACACAAATATGATGGGGAGACTGTTAATAAGCAGATTCAATTTTAAAGTGTGTTGAGTACATATTTTTTTTCTTCTGGAGTCTTCTCTCTTGCCCCTCACCCAACACCTTCATTCATCCATCCCAGGGAGGAGTCACAGAGTGGAACCACCTGGTCCCAGGTAACCATGGGAGAGCTGGGCAGCCTGCCTCTCCCTGAGTCACTCCACTTTGCGTCTGCTGCCCTGCCTGGTTTCAGCTCCACTGAACAAGATGCCCATCGCAGGACAAGGTCATTTCTAAATACTCCACCTCGCCACTCACTCAAGCCTTGACTGATGCCACCTCCCTCAGCCTCCTCTGCCTTGATTATCAGACATCCCCAATGCCTTCTTTTATGCAGGGCAGGCACTGGACTTCAGCTCGCTCCACTTTACATCTGCTACCCTGCCTCCACTGAACTCAACCCCACTGAACAAGATGCCGTAGGACAGAGGCAAGGAACCACTCAAGGTTTCCTGTGTCATACATACTAAAATACCAAGTCCTTTTTAGCAATGGGTTAGCACTTCCAATCCAGTAAACATTGATTATGCATCTACAATGTGCCAGACACTATGCTAAACACTGGGGACACAATTCATAAAGACAGTCTCTGCCCTCCACGAACTGACAATTTAAAGGGGGAGGCAATACAGAAAAAGAGGCAGGAAAGGGAAGCAGTGAGGCGCCAGGGGGACAAACAGGAAAGGGTGGCAATGGAAGTGGCATCATGTGGAGGACCCAGGTCTCAGTGAATGCCAGAGATGGAAAGAGTGAGAAAAGAAGAGGTTTAAGCTGAAAGGAAGTTTGTTAATTATGGAGCAGGAATTCCAGAGGGCACAGTGGAAGCGTAGGCAGATGTGGAGTGGGACTTTGAGGGTTCTGGATCATTGGGATGAGAAGAGTATATGCCTATTCTAACCATTGAGGAATGAGCTCAAGTGTGTCGGGGATTGGAGAGAGGTCTTTTAAGGAAAGATGATCCTTGAGATCCAGCCTCATGGCAGGTGGCAATGTTGCGTCCTGTGGAGCCCTTGGAGGACCTACCTTGTAGCTGGACATACCTGGACAAGGTGTGGGAGTTTGGGCAGGATGCAGAGGGCCTGGCCTACTGCTGAAGGATACCCTGGAGGGTAGAATGTGGAAAGAGTCTTATTCCCGGCTGGGCCACCTGGACCTGGTTCTGGAGATGGCCCTGAGACATTTTATTCTGTGTGCGCAGGAAGAAATCACCTGTCTCATACCTGATTCATGTTATACATTCAGTACCTTTTTTTTCTTTTTTCTAACAACTCCCTTTTGGGGAAACCCTAGATGTGAACCACAACCCTATTTGTCTCTGGGGTGCAAAGGTGGAGATTTAATGAACCCATGGGGATGACAAAAGGGGCCCCAATCTCATTAGAGGCCAAGTTCCCCCAGGACTGATCTTGGCTCAGACAAGAAGCCTGGGTCTAAAACAAAAGGGCCCCTTAGTGCAGAAGGGAGTGGTGCAGCACTATAGGCGCTTGGGATTATGATGGTCTGAGAGGTTTAGAGACTCCTCGAGGACCGAAAAATGAATTCCCTGACTCAAGCAATCTTTAAGTCAAGTTGGCAAAAGTTTATTGTTACACTATTCAGCGGGCAAAAGTTCTTAAAGAACCTGCTACCTTAGAGGGGTTCAATTAAAGTTTATATAGAATAAACTATAGTAAAACATGTGCCAAATAGGCTAACTAGGTGATTTGAGGCAGGGGATTAGGGCATAGTTAAAGAGTGGTCAGTTCTTAAAGGAACATGCACTTTTTGTATCTACTGTGCAGGCATTTTACCCAGAGTTCACCAGGAAATACCCGAGGTGGGGCCACATGGAGGTGGGGTTTTTAGCCTGCCACATCACTTAAGTTAACTAGCAGTCCGGGCTGACTGAGGATTGCTCAGTCTGCCGCCAATCAATGTCATGTTTGACAAGATAAATTGTACGCATGTGTATGTATGTCTTAAGTCTAGAATACAAGTAATGAGGAGACCAGGATGTAGATAATGAGGTAGGGAGTTAGTACAGATAGTCCAGTGGGTACGAATATCGTTATGAGCCACAAAGGCAGTTCAAACTAATAATTCCTTCAGGTGTGGTTTGTAATTGCACCAGGGAGAGAGAGAAATGTGTTGCTGAGGCTCAGTCATGAGTAATTGCTAGGCATAGTGTCCTTGGGCTGGGGAGAAATTGCCAAGGACAGTGTTTCTCAGGCTAGGGAGAAATATGGTCTGGGAATTGGGGTCCAAGCACAGGCACCCAAGCACCCCATCGGGACCATCACTGGTTCCACAATACTGGATTTATATGTGATCAAGTTGTTTCCCCTGATAGAATGATGGGAGCAATTTGAGAGCAAGGACTGCTTTTGTTTTTATTTTTGTAACCTCAGTACCTAGAGCATACAGTAGTCACTCAATAAATGCTTGCTGTTTAACTGATCGAGTTCCATTGGAGGATGGAGGTTTCCACATGGCGAATTCCCTATGAAATTGTAGGTCCAGAGCAAAAAAAATCAACTCAAAGTTCCAGTTTGCCAAAATATCTGGATCCTATGTCAGCCAATATATTAGTTAATCTCTCCTAGCTTTGTGTCATCTGCTAATTTGGTAAACATGCCGTACAAGTCACCGATAAAAAATATTAAATAACGGTAGCTAGGTGGCTCAGTAGATCGAGCTCTGGCCTTGGAGTCAGGAGGACCCGAGTTGAAATGTGGCCTCAGACACTTGCCACTCATTAGCTGTGTGACCCTGGGCAAGTCACTTAACTCTGCCTTTCCTCATCTGTAAGATGACCAGGAGAAGGAAATGTCAAACCACCCCAACATCTTTGTCAAGAAAACCCCAAATGGGGTCACAGAGGGTCAGACACAACTGAATAACAAGTAAATCTATCCCTATTAGAGCAGCCA